TGGTTATTAGAAAAAAGCTTTGACTATTAAAAAAAAACTCCCTTCCCTAAAATCATGGGTGATATTTACATAAAGTGTAAATGGATTACCAGCCTTCTGTATTCTAAAACATTTCGTTAGCTTTTTTTTTTAATTTCACAAATTTAAGATGTGGTTCTAGTTTTTCAAACAGTTTTGGTTCTTTTGAAAGTATCAGGTCAGAGAAAGCAAGTCCATCTGGTCAAGTCAGGTGAAAAGAAAATTCTTGGTTTCTGGCTTCCAAAAGCTAGCTATAAATCAAACTTTTCTTCCAATCTCAGGTCAAACTGGAAAAACATTTCCCTATTCTCTTTCTTTACCAATCAAAAAGAGAAAAATTAGTTTAAATGGAAAAAGTCTTTAGTAAAATTTCATGAATGCATAACATTATCCTAACCACTCTCAAACTGGTTACTGCTTTAACAACTTGCAAAGGTCAGTAACTATACAACCCGGCCATAAATTTATTCAGGTGTTTTAAAATCAGTACTTTATATATATTCATAAATAGCTCACTTACGTTATCTGTTAAAGGACATAGTCAGCCTAGAATACCAGAAGTACTCTGAACTCTTAGATTTCTTTTCAAATTAGGAGATCATAAGCAAGTTCAAAGTTTTCTTCACAGCCCTGAATGGAAGAGGGAAATTCAGACAGCACACGTTAAAAATGATTTAAAGAACCACCACAGGCAGGCTGTGAAAGAAGAGGTGGAAAAGAAGAAACACCCACATATTCCCTGCGCCTCCTATCACTCCCTATCTTTGTTTACAGACAGGGACCCATTATGCAGTCCAGGCTGGCTCTGGACTCACTGTGGAGTTCACACTGGGCTCACACCCGGGATTCTCCTGCCTCAGCCTGCCAAGTGCCAGGACTACCGGTGTGTGGCACCAGGCCTCTTCTTCCTTTTTCAAATCCACCGCTTCTCTCACACTTTCTGCCCTAATCTTTGTAATTTCTACATTTTTTGTACCAGGAATCGAACTCAAAACCTTGGGCTTGCCAGGCAGGTGTTTATACCGCTGCGCTAAATCCCCAGCTCTAATTTCTATGATATAAAACACTACTTGTGAATTAATAAAAATATAACCTCCAAACATCCGTATCTTTAAAACATTATTGGTGCTGGGCTGGGGATTTAGCTCAGCGGCATAAGTGCCTGCCTTGCGAGCAGGCAGTCGTGAGTTTGATCCCCAGTACCGATAAAAAGGAAAAAGACAAAACAAAACAAAAAAAAAAAATTAAAAACATTATTGGTGCTGAGATGGAGAGACTGCAGGAGCAGGAGTATTCTGTATTTGTTGCACACTGTATAGTCATATTTAAGAATTTTCCTCATACCAAATTTTCTCAAGCAGGTAGTAAAATTATCCCATTTCACAGACAACCCTCAAGCCCAAGAAAATTTCCCTTTTCTCGTAGACTAGAAATTACCAAGAACCAGCAGGTCCCAAAATAGTAAGTTAATGGTTAGACTGAAATTTTTGCTAGGTTAATATAAATTTATAAACTAGGGATAGATAGAAACATATTTATAACTACTTTTTAGTTGTTTTGTTTTGTTTTTCGGTCTGCCTTCTTGAGACAGGGTTTCACTATGCAGTTCAGGCTGGCCTTGAAATCACTTTGTAGCCCAGACTGGTCTCAAACTCTTTACCCAGCCTCTCAAGTAGTGAGATTATAAGCATGTACCACCAGGCCTGGCACATAACTACTCATTTCAAATTCAAGTCTACTTATCCTTTTTTGTTTGTATTTGTTTATTTGAAGACAAGGTCTCACTATGTAGTTCAGGCTGGCCTTGAACTCCCAGAGATCCTCCTGCCTCAGCCTCTCAGGTGCTGGGATTACTGCCATGCTATACCTATTTCTGAATACAGGAATAATTACTTCTTAGCCCTTGAGCACGGGACCACACTAATCCTTCAGGCATCCAGAGGACAATACGCAGAACAAATGAAAAATACAGACCAGGAAAAAAATTAAACCTGGAAAGAAATACAAATTTGCCACTTTCCATCCTGTCAGAAAACAGACATTTGGAAACCTGGATTGAACTGTAGGCAACAGTGAATACACCACTGCTTTTGACATAAAGAAATGGAATTTTGGACTGAAACCTTAGTTCAGAGGCACAAGCACCGGTCTGGCAAGCAAAGTCATGAGTTCAATCCCCAGGACACTCCTCCTGGTTCAACCTAATATTATTTTCTAAGCTCATTTTAATAACTGTCTCAACTAAGGTCTTGATATCCCAAGGCCCAAAAAAACTTCAATTTTTCTAGACTGCCTTAACCTTTTGAAAAGATTTGATAAACTAAGCTCATTAACAAGAAAGGCAGAAGTAAAACTGCCAAACAGCTAACTGTAACTGTGGCTGTGTGAACCCTAAGAGTCTTACACATCTTTTACCTTTCCGGTGCTGAGAATCAAAGCCAGGGCTCACACACAGCCCTGCACAAGGGGCCAAGCGCCTCATCGCTGAACTGCATCCCCAGCCCTCCACATCCTTTTTACTCTTCCTCTTTCCCCCTAACAGAACTTGAATCCTCAACAGAGCTGCTCCTTCCCACTCTCACAGCGGAGACGCTAACGAAAACTAAAGCACTCTAACAGTGAGACAGGGTTCTAAGCAAGACAGCAGCACCTCTTCTGACACAGGCTCTTCATGAATCTAAAATCTATGGCTGAGGTCTCTTAAACTGCTATGGTTCACTTGTGTTGGGGAATCAGGCTGCTCATCTTTCTAATCAAAAAGAATGATTATCATTCCAATGGGATACATTTCTCCACTTAGCTACAGCTGATTTAGGAACCCAGATCAGAAATACCTGTCACTTTCACAAAAGGAGGAAGATTATGCCTTTCAACTTGCCTCTAGGTACAAATCCATCATTTCCCACCCATTTTTATGAGAATCTAATATCCAATACGCCAGTGAACTCTCTTCTCAATTACATTCACTAATTAGTTCTCTATTCTTGCTCTGCCAAAATCCCTATCCTTTACCATCTACTCATCAAATCCAATGATTGCACCTCCCTAGAGGTTTCCCTAAGACACACAAGAGATGCCTACAGCAAGGTCTGTTCCATCTTTCTTTTGGGGGGTGGGGTCTTTTTGAGACAGGGTCTCACTATGCAATTCAGGCTGGCCCTGAGCTCCCTTTGTAGCCCAGTCTGGTCTTGAACTCCCCAATGATCTTGCTGCCTCTGTCTCCCAAGTGCTGGGAATACAGGCGTGCTCTGTTCCACCTTTCCAGATCCTGTTTGGAGCACAAACATCAAGTGAAACATGCTTTTTAAAATGATGAGGGGGAAAAAAAAGTGATGAGGAGAACTGGGTCGGTGGCACACACCTGTAATCCCAGAACTTGGACGTTGTGAGTTCAAGGCCTGCCTGGGCTCCCTTGTTAGTTCAAGACCAGCCTAAGTAAAAACCCTGTCTCAAAAAAACATGAAGACAGGCCTGTCATCCCAGCACTTGGGAGGCTGAGGTGGGATGCACTCCTGCGAGTTCAAGGTCTACTTATAAAGATGCTGTCTCAAAAAACAAAAAACCAAGACACCAAATGCACAAACACGCCCACACACAAATTTATCAGGAGACACTCTCAGACTCTATCTGGCATTTCTGTTCTGCCAGTTCAGTGCTGGCAGGTCAACAGAGACCAGCACTAGCTAATACAACCCTAAAAGATACCCTCTTTCCCTAGAGCTGAACCATCGTCCCCTTCCCAACATTCTATAACCCAGAATTTTTACAGCAGAATTTGCCCCTTGCCCCACCCCTAACAGCATCTTCTGCTCATTTTTCACCCTAAACTGAGGCTTTCTCTAGAGCTCCATCGTGGTGACGCCAAGTCTGCCAAGCACATTTCCTTAAACCTTCCACCTACTGTCTTCTTCCCTGAGGCACATATAATCGCTGATTTTATTTTTGAAAAGTGTATTAAGAACAGTATTACATGCTTAAAGGGACATTTATCTATTTCTATCCTTTAAAATCTTGTGAGGTGGAATTTGCACCCCCATTTTACAGAGCAGAAAAGCTGAGGCTTAGTTACCTGTCCAAGGTCACAGAGGTCAACAGTTGGAATCCAACTTTGTCCTCAATGCCCTGTGCCCTTAACCCTCACGGAAGCCATTCCTTATCTCTTCACATCATCCTAAATATCTTCTCTGTAATCATAAAGTCTGTTCTGAGAAGGTCCAGTTTCTCTGGGGGCGGTTCTCCCTTTAAACGTTAAGCCTTTGACAGGAACCAGTACCCACTGCTTCTTTTCTCCGCCGGCTCCCTCATCCCTGCAACCTGGCACCGTTTCCAAAAAGACCCTATTCACAGCCCCTCCTCTAGGGTAATTCAAACTTCCCCTCGGTCCCCTGAGCAGACACCATCCGATACTGAAAAGCCGCCTTTTTTTCCACTCGCAAGGCGAGGCTGAGGGCAGGGGAGCAGGAGCGGAGAGCGCGGACCGAGCCGCTTCCCCAGGTCCGCGATTCCGGAGGGAACCCGGGCCGGGGAGGGAAGCGGGTGGAGGCGACCAGGGTGCGCCCTCGGGGGCAATGGGGAGGTGGGCGCCGGACGGAGGGTGGACCCCAGGTGAGAGGGGGCCCCAGGCAGCGCTAGCGGCCGGAGGCCGACAGGGGGACCAGCGCGGGGAGCAGAAGGGAGAGCGGCCGCCGGGCCCGGGAGCAGGAGCGCGGAGCGCGGAGGAGGATGGATGCGGACCGAGGGCGCCCGGGACCTGCGCGGCGCGGGGCGGGCGGCGGGGGCGCGGAATGCCGGGAGCCGGACTCGGGGGGCGCGGGGAGGCGGAGCCGGGCCCGAGGGGCGGGAAGCGGGGCTCCGGCGCGGCCGGGGCGGCGGGGCGCGGAGGGCGGGAGCGGCGGTGCCACAGCCCCGCGCCGAGGTCCCCGTGGCCGCCGCGCCCCGGGCCTCAGGGCGGACGGGCGGGGTCCCCGAGGGCCCCCTCTTACCTATGCCGGGCGCCACATAGACGAAGTAGAGCAGCGAGGACGACAGCGAGAAGAAGAAGAGCGCGGCGAGCAGCGAGCGGCGCGGCAGCCGCAGCAGCCCCCGGCGGGCGCGCATGCTGCAGCCGGGCGACCGCTCGAGGGCCGGGCCGGGCCTGCTCCCGCCGCTCCCGTCCGCCGCCGCCGCCGCCTGGGCCTCGGCCGCCGCCTCCGGGGCCTCGCGGGCCGCCGCTCGCCGCCGCCTCGCCACTCGCCGCCGCCGGCCGCCGCGGGCCGGGCCACATGAAGCGGGAGGGGGCCGCGCGGCCCGAAGAGCGCGGCGGCGGGAGGGGGCGGGGCGGGCGGGGCGGGGCGGGGCCACGCCGCCGGGCACCGTCGCAAAAGACCCGCGCGCGTGCTCGCCGCCGGGCCCCCGCGCAGACGCCTGGGCGGCCCTCAGGGAACGTAGCCAATTGGCGACAGCCCCTCTCGGGCGTGGCCGCCGCCCAGCCTTGGAGGAAGCGTCTTTCCTGGGCAGCTAGGCTAGACGCTGCTCTCCTCCCGCGTTCCAACGCCTGGGCCGGTAACCGTGTAGGAAAGCTGACCTGTCTTTATCCCACTGCGGCAGAAGCGGGGATCGTAAGGACTGAGGATATACTCATTCATTCTTTCATTCATTCCAACCATCGTTTGGTTACAGTTGGCGCTAGGGAAGCTACAGAGAACAAAAAGGAAATCTCTGACTACTTGGAACTTACATTCATACGGAAAAGAAAGAAATCAGTTATGATTCGGATACTGATTAGAGAGATGAACACAATAAAATAAGAAAATGTGTTGGAGACAGCCTGGAGTATTCAAGAAAGGCCTTCCCGAGCAGGTGGCATTGGTTGAGACACAAAGGACTGAGAACCCATGAGAGAATAAGTAAGCTAGGGAAATGGCAGGTGCAAAGTCCTTGATGTTAGTAAAGGCCTGAGTCCAAGGCCAGCATTGATAAATCCAATGAAGCAGGGAGGGTTGTAGACAGGTCCACATCCCAGAGAACAGAAGGAACGTAAAGATCACAGTGGTCAGTGAGAACACTGGTGCTGAGAGGTACTGGGCTTGACTCATCCTATCAAATCTCTGCAGCAGTTCTGTTACTGTACAGATGAGGAAACTGAGGCTTCCTAAAGGAAAAGCAAGTCCTGGGTTTCTAATCAATTTAGCCTCTCTCATAACGCAGGCCCTGGATTCTAAAATTGTAACTGCCTCAGCATTCCACCTAGCCCTAGTTCTCTTGCAGGCAATCCTCCCCACCACATTAATGGGGCCACATCCACAACGCCTTAAGATGAGTGTTGGTCTACAAGACCTGAGAGGGCAGTGAACAGTAACCAGAGATCCATGGTCGTGCCAGTGGAACCCACCACAGCTTATTGGGGCTGTCAGAGGAATAGAGGAGGTAAGGGCCCCCCACACAGACACATCTGAAGCTAACACTGGAATGCCAAGGACAGCCAGCAATAATCCTGCTTTATATTCCTAAAGTGACTACACTATGTTACACTATTTCCAGACCCTTTAAATGGAGGGGGTGTTTTTGTTTTTTGTGTGTGCATGTATGTTTGCCATCTGGTGATCACTTTCATCCTGGGGGTTGGGTAGATACACATAGGGGTATCTTGGTCATTCTCCTGACCTCATTCCTTCTAGGGATTTCAGAGCCAAACAGCCCAACTTCTTTGAATCCCAGCTCTTCCATTCTTAGTTGTAGGACCTTAGGCAAGTTACTTAAACTTATCCCAATAGAATCAGAATGTCTTTAGATCCACTGCATCAGATTGTAGTGAGGATTTGGGTTACAAACGCAAAGCCTGACACTTAGTAACTGCACGAGGCTATCCAACTCTGCTAGGAAATGGGATGGAAGAGAAGACTTAACCAAAAAGGAAAGCAGAGAACTTAGATAAATGGCTTGGCTTAGATAAATGTGGGTTCAGATTTGGACCTGGACTCAGCTAGCTGTGTGACCTTCAGCAAGTCACTTCTCTAAGGTTCTGTTTATTTCATCACCTGTGAAATGGACCCAGGGCTACCCCCCCTCATAATGTGATGTGATGCAGGTAGATAATACCTTACACCAGAATTCCACAACCAGCTAGAATCATCTGACTGTGAATACTTTTTGTTTGACCAACACAATGACCTCCTCTAACTCCAGTGTCTGAGAAACATTTTCAAACAGTTGAAAAATGAAAAAAATAATATAAGGGACATCTTTGCATGCTCTACCTGAATTAAACAATTGTTGGCTGGGTGTAGTGGTGCACACCTGTAATCCTACACTGGGGAGGCTGAGGCAAAAGGATCACAGAGAGTTCAAGGCTGGCCTAGGCTACGTAGTGAGTGCAAGGCCAGTCTGAACTACATAGTAAAACCCTGTCTCATAAAAATAAAGCAAGATAAAACAATTATTATCTTTTTTCCAGATTATTTTTTTCTTAAAAAAATATTTTGTTTAAAAATAAGTTGCTACCTTACAATTACTTCATGCCTCAATACTTTGGCAGCAAATCCTAAAAAATAAATACTTTAATAATAAATAAAAAACTCTCTCCCAGGACTACAAAAATACCAAGAAAATTATCAATCATACCATAAGAGCTATACTATCTGGTCTACTCTGGATGGACAGACAGGAAAGCCTTCTCATAGCTAGACTGCCAACCAATGTCTGTGCATCTCCATCTGAAATAACAAGGCAGCAAAATAATTTGTTTTGGTTTGCCTTTATGAGACAGGGTCTTGCGATGCAATTCAGACTGGCTTTGAACTCACTGTGTAGCCCAGACTGGCCTCGAACTCATGGCAATCCTCCTGCCTCAGCCTCCCCGGTGCTGGGACTACAAGCATGTGCCACATGCCTGGCAACAAAATAATTTTTTAATGGAAGAAAAATAAAACATGCTAGGGGTCTCTACCTGAAAAACCTCCCCCCATACTCTCTTTTCATCTCCAAATTATTTCTTCTCCAACTGAGGCATTCATTCAGTAGTTATCACACAAACTAACTGCATTCTGGTCCCTGCTTAAATGTTACCTCCATCAAAAGACATTGTCGCTAAAATAACTTCCCTCGCCCCCTGCTTCTCTGCTCTTACCCAGCTACGTGGTTCTCCGTACCATTTTTCGTCTCCTGACTTTAGGTGACTCACATTCAATTGTTCACTTTTGTCTCCAGATCAGAACACGAAGGCGGTGATTTTGTTTCATTCTCCACCATGTCCTGCATGTAGCCCAGTGCCTGTGGCCAGTAAGGGCTCAGTGGCTGCTGAAGGAATGTTGAAAGATAGTCGATGTGCGCCGAGCACCTGCTGGGCATGGCGGATGCAGAGATGACTAAGTGGAGTTTCCTGCCATCCAGGAGCAGGACAGACAGGAAACGCAGGACAATGAGCTAAAGAGGACATGCTGCGGCCAGCAGTGGGACAGCCATCGGGTGCGACTGTAACTGGGCTTGGGAGGGATGATGACACAGGTTGGCTGGAGGGGAAGGGACAGAGGACTGCCTGGCTGGAGCAGCTGGTCTCTGCCCAGCAAAGGAAGGCTGAGACTGGGAGCAGCCAGGCCATGAGGCTCACAGGGCCCCAGGAGCCTGCGGAGCTGGCCTCTGACCAGCTCTGCCTCTCCCTCACCCTCTGTTGTAGTCAGGGGCTGTGAAGAGGACAATTACAACCAGGACACTGAATTTATATTATTTTATGATGATCACCCAGAGTTAAACCCAAAAAGTGCAGGAAATCTGTCCACAACACTGAAGATCCAGAATATTCTGCCAAGAGCCTGGATCCCTCAGCAATGCTATGCATGAGTCCAGCTGAAGACCTAGAGCCCATGACAATGCCTCCCATGAGTCCAACTAGAGGTCTAGAGCTTACAACAAGGACTCACGCCAGTCTGTTTTACGGATCTGCTGTGAAGGCCCTAAGGTCAGTGGTGGAAGCCAGAAAGTCTACAGTGAGGTGAAGGAGCTGTGCCAGTAGGCTGAGGGTTCTATACTGGAGCCGAGAAGACACGCTCAAAATAAGGGCTAGGGCTGCCCTGAAAAGCACCACAGCCATCCTCAGCTACAAGGAGGTCCCAAGCTCCTCCAATGATAACAGTCAAGTATGTGCCAGAAAGCCAGCATGACGAGCTTCTCCTGGAGATTAAACAGCACACACCTTCCCCTCTGGAGCCAGGAAGTGATGCTCAGTGTAAAGACCAGAGCTCCCCAAAAGTGAACCACAACCACTCTCACCAATAAGGTCCCGAGTTCCTCTGATGATAATGGCCAAACTCAGATTGGAGAAGCCAGCCATGATCAGCTCCTCTGGGAGAACCAATGACTCCAAACAACAACACTTACAAGAAGCCACAACCCCCTGGCTCTTCCTTTCCATGTTTCCTTTTATGCTGGCAACTTTCTTCATCTACACACAGCACCATGCTGATTTAATCCAGCTGGTGTTAAATTGACCACCAGTTTCTAATCCATAACAGCCTCTTTCATCATGCTATGGCCTCTCATCTACAAGGTGAAGTTCACTTGTTCCAAGGGCACTGGAAGGGTTCAGTATTGGGTCTGTATTGTGTCTAGCATGAGGCAGATGCTCAATCAGTGGGAGCCATTGCTGTTCCTATACTTTTGCCTGTGAGCCACAGGGAGCCCTTGAATGTTCTAGAACAAAGGAGTCACCTACTCAAAGGGAACTCCCTAGATAAATCTCAGGAGAGCACAAGTTGGGTGTCCTGTGCTTGTCAACACCCAGCTGTTGGCTAGCCTAAGCCAAACAGAAGTAAAAAGGAATCCCCACCTAAAGGTAAAAGTCTCAGGTACCACGAGGTCCTGCCAGACGTTCGGGGAGAAGGTTCCAGTCCCATAGCCATTTCACAACCCATGAATGATTAAGATAACACTGCAGAGAGTGAGTCTCTTCCTGTCAGACTCACAGGAGCAGTGAGTAGACAAAGCACAGAAATTTGGATAATTACTGCCAGGTCTCAGGGAACGATCAGTGCTTCCAATGACAAGAACTTCTGTGGGCAGAGCACTAGATAACATGAGATTCCTTGGTAGCTGCCAGTCCCTCTCTCTGGCACAGAGCAGCAGAGACAGCTGTTAGCTCCTGCCAGCACCCTGAACGGCTGTGAGTCCTGCGCCACGGGAACTTTCCACAGAGCAGCTGAGTTCCAGAATGGCAAAGAAACTCCCCTATCTCTTCGGGCCAGCAATAA